CCTTGAAATATATCTAAGCATAAGAGTCGGCTATCCATACAACCACTGTCTAGAATAGCAGCAATGAAACAAAATCTCTTCACCTTTGTGTTTTTCTTTCACTTCAACATCAAGGTCATCACTCGGATCAAATAATGAATCATCATGCCGGCTATAATGGTGATGAATATAACTCTCATCCAAATATATAACAGGCCGTCGGTTGACATCGCCCGATAAAACATCACACATTTCAGAAACATACACATCACGATACTGAATATTATCATCGGACATGCTGCGTGGAGGATTCCGATTCCGGATCGAAATCCAGGCGGTTTTCAGACCGCAAAAAGTGGGCAACGTCCTTGGCGACGGTGCGTTGTCGGTCTTGACGACGATGGCGGACGAATTCTTGAATCAGGTCGGACGTCACCGGCAGTCGTGTGCGGTGGGACATGTCCCGTGATGCTTGGGGCTTGGTCGTGGTGGTGCCGCGCTGGATGAATTCCTTCCACACTTGTTGGACTGGTTGCTCCTTGCGGCGCAGTAGGCGGGCGGCTGTGCGGGATGCTGCCGGTGTTCCATCTTGGCGGAGAACTGCATTGGCCATTATTATGTCGAGAATCTCGTTCTTTGAGACGTATCCCGATACGTCCAACGGGAGCGAGCCATCTTTACGTACGCAATGGCGCGGTCGATGTCGCTCGCTGGGTGGGTTTCCGTGGGCATGGTTGGTGTAGTTGTATTGCTGGTGTCGAGAATCAGAGCCAGTGGGTTTTGCATGTGTAATGCTTGAAGCTTTTATTGGGTTTTTGCCTGTCCTTTTCAGCGATTGTATAGTGTGTCAAAGTGTATGTGGTATGAGGGTGAAATTTGACAGGTTTTCAAATTTTGAACAATGCAGGTACCCTCAGCGGGTATCGCAGTGCCTTTTAGAGCTTATACCGGGACGAGCCTTGCTGACCCCTTGAATTCGGCGACGACATGAAAGAGGTATTATATGGTACCTGTCTAACTGCAAAATGTTGTTAGCATTACAAAGCTGTATTACATTATTTCCTTGACTCTGAGAAATACAATTGCTCAAGACCTAAAGTTGGTAAATCTGCAAGGCTCGGGCAAGCGACAGTCAACGTTTGAGCGACTATGCGCCGATAACATGTTGCTATGTGATGGAGGATTCACCCCTCTCTTCCTTGTTGTGACATGGAACCTCATGTGTCGGTCCCAATCAACTGAAACCATCAGGTAGTGATGTTATCGTTTATTGCTTACGTAAATGTAGCTTCGACTTCTTATTCGAAGACGACGCCTTCGGAGTGAAGTTTTACAAAACAAAGACGAAACAAGTAGGTACTCCACAGTTATTGCGATGATCCAAGGCATTGCTACCGCAAACCCTAGGAAACCAGTGGTGTGTTTTCCTCGTGCTTGGACTAAACCTAGTCTGTAAAACCAACTCGATCCAATCAATCCCTTCCCTATGGAAGTGATGGAATAGTTCGAATTGGCCTTGTCATAAGTACTTAACTGAATTTGATATGCCACTCGCACGTCGACCGGCCACTGCAAGCCTGATCCTTGTGCGTGCAGTAAAGGGTGGATCGCCACATGATAGCACCTCGTCCACCGTGAACAGGGTGGGGTTTTTTCTCCGAAAAGTTATTTCCCGTCCGTAACAGTGTGAAGCCTTGGACACGTGCCCACGCCTTCACGCAAGTTACGAACTCGTTGGCGTCATTGAATTTCTGATGGATACCAAGCAAGTCGCCGAATGCTGGTGCCTGGGATGGTATACCAACCGTAATTGGTTCGTTGTCGGATTCGTCAGCACCGTGCATTCCGCTAAGTGCAGGTGTGTGATCTCCCTCGGGGTGATCATTGCTGCTTGTCTCGTCCATCTTGTTTTTAAGTGTGCGCTGACCATTCAACCATTCATCTGTATAATCTACGATATCCGGATGTGTTGTCCGTTTAAGTTCGACGATGATATCCATAAAAACTATGTGTCCGTTCGATAATCCTACATTTGATCCCAAAATTAGGATTGTTGCCGGATAAATTTTAACCAGACAATGCGCCAGAGGCGCATGCGCCTAAAACGAAAGCCCCAACTTGGTTATCGGCACCCTTCCAGGACGAGTTAACATATTCAAGCCATACCAACCCTGTGGATGGCCTTACTAGAGGTCAAGTTGATTTCTCATAACATGGCAAGCTAATGAATGGCACTTAACATGCGCAAATGTTCAAAATACAGCGTTGCTCAACGTTAGGACAGCGGGATCATGACTACTTGTGAAGGAAAAAGACCAATGGCATTTGACGGCAGCCATATTCATCGTGATGTTGTATATGACTGACAGGCTGCCATGTTTATTGCTTTTTGGCAGCAAAAGCCCTTCGTGGAAATGTCCACTTTCGGTGTTTTGATCAAAGACATCGGAACCCATTCGTTTCAAAAGGGCGTTGGCAGCGATCTGTTGAACACCCCTGGAGGACCAGAATCTGTTGAAGTGTGGCTCCGAGCCGGAGGACACTTAAAACCGTCCAGGGTCGATACATCTTTGCGTGTTCAGGGGCCACCACTTTGTTGGACGTGCAACATCAGGTTTGTACGGCATTAAATAATTCTACTTTCAATAATACCTGTTGTGCACAAAGACTCATAATAAATATTTTTTGAGCGTCTGTCATTCCACTTGGGCACAACGTGAACGACATTGATTTTTCCTGCCTACCTCCACATTTCAAGGCGACTGGACTGAGTGATGAGCAATCGGAAGCTGCCCTGGCCAGGTACAAATCACTTTACCCCAGTCAGTTTGGACAAATTCTGCCATTCTTGGCGACATCCCTGTCGTACCATCACGTTCGGTTAGCAAAGCGTTGAGCAAAAACTATCCATTATCGTTTGCCCCCATTTGGACCTCTGGTTTGCTACCAAAGTTGAAAGTCGACGTTAAAACTGGTCAAATGCAAAACCAACAACAAACTTACGTTCATCCGGGATCCCACCCCACGTTTCTATTGGTCATCGTTTGGCTACGGTGGAGCACGAATTGAAAATTAACAACGAGCAATTTACTTATTTACCATCAAAAATAAGTGACCACATTGTTGCACAATTACGGGCCCCGCCAAGCACGCCACCAACAACGACCCCACGAATTTGGTGTCTTCCGCGACCCCATCTTGGACGGAATCCATCAAGTGAGGTGAGGCACTACGTCCACACCCCCAACAAGTGACAACGACGTTGTTCCTAAACCGTGGTGACCTTTTGTTTTGACCCAGGTAAGTCGTCTAAATATAGTGTAACTGCAATCTAATGATGTATTATATTCTAATCTATGTACAGTAATCTAATGTATTGTACCTTAACTAATCTATGTACAGTACTGTCATCTAATGTAGTGTACCTTAACTGTAAATTTATTCTGATCAATTGTATTAACTGTGATGAAATATCCGTATTGTAATCAAATCAATACACTTTCGTTGCACAATTAATTTACATTCCGTAATCTAATTTATGCATTTACGTTCAGGGTTGGGACATAACCACAGGATCACAGGAGGGCATGTAATTGGACATGCCGTGCAACTGTTGACGCTGGAGAAGCATAGGAGCCTGTCGAAAACAGTGTTGTCGGCCTGGGCGGATTCAACTTTCCCGTCTCCAAAGTCCTGGAAATCATGGTAGCATTGTATCCAGAATGGATGTTTTGTCCCAGTTTGTAATCTCAGTTAAAGGACAGAGGCCGGGTCCTACACCTTGGTCCGGAAGTGGACAGCATGGGCCGCTTCTTTGAAATGGGTTATGGTATGAAAGCCACCGGCGTCATGTTCCACGTCAATCTAACGTCAGCATTGCAGTTAAAAAGTGTCGCCAAGCTCGTATCATATATTTTTCATGTGATTATTTTTCATGTATATATTCTACTAATTCTTTCTCAATATAGCAACCTGGGATGATCAAGTATGCAACGTCGTACTCCGACTTTTGTACTGTGCGACGGGACACACAATGTGTCGATGTATGTACGTCCTGAAGTGGATGCCATTTACTGTTGTCGACTGCCTTGGGCAAAATGTACTCTGCGTGGTGTGACTCGACGAGTCAGAAAACACCGAGGTATGTGGTACACGTATGGTGATGGATATTAAGGAATTACTACATGTAGACTGTGAAACTGGGTCTCGAGTTGTGTAGTTACACGAAGCTAACTCGACCCTCCTGACTGATGGTGGCAGTGCATATCCTGGTAATATATAATAATTGCTATATTTGTGCGCCTAACTCTTGTTGTCGTGTGTGGGGGTTAATAAAACTATTAGGGGTTGCACTGGATTTGGGCATGATTCACATCTTGTGCACAAAGCACTGTGAGGATGTAATCCTCAAAGGTAGCACAGGGCTTAGTGCGGTGGCGAAGTCGTTCAAGGCGGAGGGCTACGCGCTTGTTTATGCCACGATGTCCAAAGTTGAGTTCCAAACTCGCTTTGACTTGTCCAGGCAACGTCTTTACATGCAGCAGCCTGGTGACACAACGAGGCGAAAGCATGAACTCTGTCATCAAAGAAAACGGCAAGGTTCTAATGTTGCAATATTTCAATGTGGCGTAGGGCTAAAGAAGAAAGAATTACGTCGTTTTAATCTCCTCCAGTTGGCCGAGCATGTATGGGGCATTTTTCAGAGACAAGAAATCAAGGCGCGTCGTGGAACTGCAAAGCCGACACATACCACATCCCGGCAACTTGAACCGCATGCGGCAACGACTCCGCTTGTAGAATGTTTGCTCGCCATATGCTGTCGACGTAATTTGACCAACGCCGCTTCGCAGTCAATAGCGTGACTAATTCATCTCATCCTTTGCGAGGACGGTGGACACCCAACTTGTGATTGCTTTGCTTTCAAAAGCAGCAAGATTCCTTGTGCTGGAGTTTGTCAGGTCAGACTAGTTATAATATGGAAGTCTAACATTAAAAAAATATGCAAGTATTTTGTCGTATTGACGCACCGCTGTTGTGCCCGCGCAACCTGCATCCTCGATGGCATCTTCAAAGCCATCCAATGTATACAAATGCATTACGCCGACTAAACATTGAAGATCCTGAGGCCTCAGCGACAGCGTCCTTGGACGCCAATTGTATCCTCAAGCTCCCCAGGTATAGCTCGTGGCGTCCCCAAGAAGTCTACGAAAATGTGAAAGTGTGAGCGACAACAGATGAACGAATTAGGAAAATTCGTAACATTTGTACTCGAGTAGAAAATGCGGTAGCCAACACTCCCCACACATATCGACTGTTTATGGCGAATATGTAAACTTGGATCGACGGCCTCCAACACGGTGGCTACGCTGGAAGCCTGGCACCATTTACGATATGTGGCGTTACCAATGCCCACACAAGGCCACAAGCACCTCCGAGCTTCCGACCGCCATTGTGCCTATGTAAGACCACTCGAACTTTCTGGCGGCGGCGAGCTCCCTCGTGGTGCAATACCAGTACTGCTACGCTGTTCCACTGCCACCCTCAAACGATTTCGCAGCTCTGGGTGCGTGGCCGCCTCTCCCTTCGTTAAGGTTGCCGAACCGCCGATGCCGCATCAAAAATTCTAGGTGAAACCTCTGAAGAACAATATTTTTCTCATTTGTACTCTGGCAAGAATAAACTATAAGGGAGCACTAGGCTACTGGGGTCGCAAGAAAGTCGATCGAATGAGGAAATTGAAAACGCCATCCGGCACATAACCCACGCGTCACGCCAGATGTTTCGAACTATTCAAAGTCTGCAGTATCAAAAGTGTACTCGCACCATCGAGGAGCTTATTGATGCTGTTGAAAGCCCGTGCAGTGAACTGACTGTAAAGATGGTTGCAAAGTCCTTCAAAACTCTACATAGTTTTCTATAGTTTTCAATAGTTTTCAATAGTTTTCTGAAGTTTTCTGAAGTTTTCTATAGTTTTCTAAAATTTTCGGAAGTTTCGGAAGTTTTCCGGTGTTTTCTGAAATATATTAAAGTTTTCTGAAGTTTGCTGAAGTTTTCTGAAGATGTCTTAAGTCTTTTTGAAGTAGCTGAAGTTTTCTGAAGTTATTTGTTGCATGCTCGATGGGTTGATTAAAGTTTGACCATGTTTTCTGAGGCCAAAACACAGTAGTAATGAGGTGTCAGTATTTCAGCTCAAGATACTAACTACTACAGTACTACACATGACCCAAGCTTCGCAAAAGCTTCGTCACTTTGTCGTTTTTGGCACGCGTTGTTGGCTTCAAAACTTCTCTTTCAGTAGCAACAGCGGACTGAATTGACTCGGCTTGAGTGGGAACTGGTGGCAGAGAGACCGCGTTGTTTGCATAGACTTCCAAGCATTCGAATGATGATTTCGGAGTGACAGGAGACCGGCAGACTAACCAGTCGCTTCAAATGCGCATCGAAATCGTCATCGCCATCGACGTCGCCATCACCTAACACATTATATGAGCTACTGTATGCTGAAATAAGATACCGCTCTGTTTGGTGGTTATTTCGGAAGGCCCGGACTTTTCGTCATGTAACATGGCAAGTTAACATTCTCGCGCTCCTATAATTATTGACGCGGTAGCAGCGGGTTTTTAGCACCGTCCCATTCAATGGCTTGGGAATGGGCTTCGTTTCTGTGCTTGATAAGGTGCTCAATGATGTTGTCTTAGCGATAATTGACTTTCGACTGCCCACAGAGCATGCATGTCCGTGTCTCTCGGTTGTAATCCCGCTTACGCATGGCATCCTTCATCCCCGCCGGCACACGATTGAGGTATTCTGCTTTGCCTAGTTTTTACATTTGCAATTCCCCAAATAGTCCCGAAATTAGGAATGGTTGCCGGATAAATTTTAACCGGACAATGCGTCAGAGGCGCATGCGCCTAAAACGAGAACCCCAATCAAGTTGCCGGATTTTAATCCTGATTATTTAGGATCTATTATATTATACTATTTCTATTATACGAAACAAATACGAAACAATTTCAATGGTGTCACGAAACAGTTTTGTTTCGTAAAACGGAAGTATAGGTTTTCCTTTATGCTGGATTTTGTAATCAGCTTCAAGTATAGAAAAATACCATCGATTTACGAAACATTCACGAAACAATAGTACTAGTTAAGGGCATAGTAATACTAAAAGCATACTAAAAAACCATGGAAGGATTCAGAGTCAAAACGAACGTACGCCAACCACCCTCCAACAATGCTATAGAGACGGCGGACGATGTAATCGCTCTCCGGAGTGTTGAATACACCAGATCGCAGTACGAGTCCGCATGGTCCGATGGCTGCATGTCGAGCATCCACAGTACGTCACAACACAAGGCGTAGTCGTTCCTGTGACACCAGCCCTGTGCAAGTTGATGTTTTCGTATGCATCAGTTAAACGAAGTTTGAATGGAATGGAGCTTGTACCCCGGAAGTACAACTCGGTTTCCACGATTAACCGTGTCAAAAGCGCAGTTGTGTTCCTGCACCGAGAGGCCAAGGTTGCAGTCTCCACTGAATTGAATGCTATGATGAAAGGTAGAAATATATTCAATATATTCACTAATATACGAAATTAGAGTATGTCAGCGACTACAGACGCAAGTTCGCGCAGCTGAAAGAGAGTGGGGAGGCACCAATAACTGAGGAAAAATCACCGCTGCCATTTGGAGGTATTCTATAAATGTTGATTTTTTTATACATATTTGAATATATATTTATATACATTACAGGTTATTCCTATTTGGCGTCTGTGGCTGTTGCGACGGAGTACGATTACTCCTGGTACGTCACGGCGCATTCATTTCTGCTGCTGTATTGGAACTTGATGGCGCGGGTTGTGTCAACGTCGTCAATAAGATACGAACAGATTACATGGAAAAGTTGCACTATACCCTTCAATATATTATTTATTTGGTTATTACATGACGCCCTCCGAATCAGCTTTGGTCTTATGAAGAACGACCAAGAAGGGCGCATGTCATACCCCAGACATGTATATACATATCCGTCGCATCCTGCTATTTGCCCCAATTTAAGGTTGGAATGAAATATATAATATATTTGTTGAAATGTTTGTCATCTAGTTTGGGTGTCTTGTTGCTTACTCGCGGAGCGCAAGTGCCTGAGTCCCCGACGCTTCTGTTTGGCTACAATGCAAAGGAGCGGTTTTCGGCTTGGCTGGCGAAGACATGCGCAGCAAATGCCGACGACATTGCTGGCCTCGGACTGTCCATCTCGGACATTGGTACATATTCGTTTTATAAAGGTGTCCGCAAGTGCACTGTCCAACAGTCCTGGTGGCCCACAAGCAGTTATGGTCTGGCTACGAGCTTGTTGGAGCCTCGGTGGGGTCCAAGGACGATACATATTTGAAGGATCTGGAGGTGATCAATTTGAGGGCAGAGCTGCAACTGGTATTTCTCTTAAGTATATATTTTTCGTTTTCATTTTTGAAGTATAATAAATATATTAGGACTCAATGTCAACGATGTCGAGTTTGGAGCGCTTCCACCACACTTTGGGCAATCGGTCTCGCTCAGCCCAGCACAGAAGGAGTTAATCTTGCCTGTATATTCATCGTTTTATCCGGCTACGTTTCGTTCGACCGTCCCATATCTACTGGCGTCGTTGGTTCACCACCACGCATGGTTGAAGAGTACTCTCCACCACAGCCACCCCTTGTTTCTGTACCATGTGTGGTTGTCCGGGTCGCTGCCAGCCCTTTTAGCTGGCCTTCACGGTGGCACCTTGTACAATCCCATCGCCAACATGATGGCGACGGAGATGAGCTATCACACAGTTTATGACACCATTAGTAATCAGTAATCGATGATATTCATGTTTATTCTGTACCTGCCTCGCGCCATCCTTGAACGCCATGTCATGGTCAACACTGTGATGGACCCCTTTGGTTGTGTTGTGTGCACTATACGCATACATGTAACGTCAGTCGTTAGTTCATGGTCCGTGATGTGTTGTTGCTTCGTACCGTTGACGTTGCTTGGGCGATGAATGCACCTTGTACGATGGCTTCGGCTGGACTTGAAGTTCAAATTTAATATATATTTTAAAGAGATTTTTTTTGTATTGGTGAATTTTATTTTTCATGTGTCTGTCTCTTTTTGAAATTCGCAACGCAGGTCACCTTGCGAATTCAAAATTGTCCAATTATGTCCAATCAGATGCGGTGAAATCACGAAAATCGCTGCGTAGATTCATCACGCCCTGTTGCGATATATTCTACTAAGGAGCCTTCAGATATTTGTAGGCTGTGTATGAGAGCAAGATCATGTGATGTGGTGTTCAGGACTCGGTCGATTATAACAAGTCTCATTTCACCACTTGCCTACTAACCCAATGAAATTGGCCATCCCTCATTCCACCATCCAGCCCGTGTCGGTGCCGTACGCCTCCCTGCCGGTGTGATCACGTGTTTGCGCGGGCGGCGGCACAAGACCACCAGAGCCACCACGACATTACGACCCAACCGAGCGCACAACATAATGTTAGCTGTAAAGGAAGAACCATATTGGACATAGTCGGAGTGCACATTTCTCTGGAACAGCATCACACAAAGCTCTTCCAAATTCAAAGATCAAAATTGTAACCTCTTCTGTCAGTGTTATAGCCAATCGTGTGTAAGAAACAAGGTGTGATGGACTCTGATTGGATATTAAAAAGGAGCAAGGTGGCTCACCTTGCGAATTGTCAATTTATATATTTCTGTCACCATTTCACTATAATTGGACGATGAGAAAATGAATGTATTTTGTTGGTTAAAATTGTCCCTGCAATGCTCATAGGCTCGACAGTTGGAGGTGGCTGTTGGCCGCGACACAGGGCAGGACAGATTCACCATACAAGTGCCAGCACGTCCCATCACATCCTTCTGCAGATGGGGCAGTTTGAAGTGGTTGTCACAACGATGTTTAAGCACTTGGCGCATGACAGCCTGCAGAGTCACAGTACGAGTCACCATCTTGTACTGTAGAGTCTGAATTGATGCAAAGAATCCAAGGTCCAGCACATTCAAGTCCGGCGGCTGCCGACGAACAACGAAAGTTCAACCATCCGTCGAAACTTGCACAAGAGCTTCGTCGTTGATAGACCGGTGGAGTCGTGCTGTAGTACAACATGCTTTCTGATCCTGTCGTTTGGAATAGAATATCTATTATGCCGTTATAGTTAAGTTATCTATTTTTTCTGATGTTGGGAAAAGGTACTATAGCTAGTTAACTATTTTGGTGGTGGCGTGCAAACCTGTCGTTGTTGCTTAGTCCTGAAAGGCAAGGCCATCAAGTACCAGCAAATTCTGCTTCGTGATTGGCTGTCAATCGCTACATGTCAATCGCTACAACTAAATTGACTCCCCCTAATATTGGCTTGTTACAGGTTCAAGTTGCTTTTGCTTTTCGTGTTGAAAAGCAAAACTTGAAAAGCAGAATAGAAATTGAAGTGCAAAATAATTCCTACTTCGAAGTATATTGAGTCTCCCTATTGACTGCAGGCGACCGGTTGCGCGTCTGAGCAGGTTCATGGCCGATCTTGGGGGTAGAAGGATTTGTTTAGCTTCAAAAATAGTTTTTGATATTTTTGATCGGTATGTGCCGTGCGCCAGTCGTTGGCGAGAGTCATGCAGCAATCGGTGGGTATGTCTTCGCGGGCCTATAGCCTTGTTTCTATTGTGGCAGGACCCATGGTATCGTCTATAACTCGACAGGGCCCGCACCATTGACCGCCGAATTATAAGGGTCAATAGGCGGTTCCTATCGAGCTGGTAGATGCCCCATATATCTGTATATCACCGTTTTCTACATTCACGAGGCACTACAGTTGATGCCATTCCTGGTGATAAGGTTAACTTTGTACATATATTGCATGTTGCGCATCGTTGCGTGTCATTCTTGGTGATAATCATTATTATATCGTCGAAATTAATGGAACGCACACAGGTGTCCGTCCACTCACCAGGTATTACTATAAGCTGAACATTCGAACAATCCTGATTTACTGGCTAGTGTTTGGGTTTTTGTGGTGCGAGACGAGACACAATCAAAACACTGGAGTCCAGTAGTATATAGTGTCAATTTACAAAAATGTGATGGAGTGGCTCTAACTTTCAACCCTTGCACGTAAGTACCTAAGATATACTGGAATTCGGTGGAGATTTGGAGATGCCCTAATACTGTAAGAGGGTCTCCACCGCGCAAACTATATTGTCTCAGGTGTGCAAACGTCAAGGGGATGACTGAACTAAATGTACGAAGTAGTATATTCAAGGACTGGCAACGACGTCGTCAACCTGGTTACGGTGGCCCTGCGTTTGAACAAGAGCTTAAAATTCATAGCCTGGCAACGTATCCTTGGGGCTGAACGTGCATTGGTTGGGGGTAAACGATTCGGTGTGGGAGGCCATTTGAGCTAGCACGCAGCACGAACAGAAGAACGAGCACGCACAGTCTTCCAGGGGCGTGCCGGGGATTTGGAACGCCTTGCGCACCCGCATGCGGATGACCATGAAGAGGACGAAGGCGGCGATCTGAAGGGCGAGGGCGATGTACCACCAAAAGGTCGCGGCGGCACTCACGACGGGGTACCCCATGCTGTTGAAGGAAATGCTCGAGGACGCGGAGCATTGGAGGATGTAAAACACCAGGTACAGCAGGTACATACCGGCAAACACGATCAACACTGTGTTGAACGTGTACATGCCGATGCGGTGCAACGTTTGAGCAAGAGACACACACGGACAGAACGTGGCCAGCAAGCAGTTGGGCACAAGGTCGTTGAAGCATCCAAAGATGTCGGACTTCCACTTGCCGATCACGAGTCCGTTGTCATCTA